TGACGAGGTTGCCATGGACGTTGTTCTTCTTCACTACCCCGATTACGAGCGCATTCACGCCGAGATTCACGTTCGTATCTTTGATCTGCCTGTGCACTACACACTACGACAACTCCGTCAGTCTCACCTCAACTGCCTTGTTCGAGTCAGCGGTGTCGTTACCCGACGATCGGGTGTCTTTCCTCAGCTCAAGTACGTCAAGTTCGACTGCAGCAAGTGCGGTGTGACTCTGGGACCGTTCCAACAAGAGTCAAACGTCGAAGTCAAGATCACATTCTGCCAAAGCTGCCAGTCGAGAGGCCCCTTCACTCTCAACTCGGAGAAAACTGTCTACCGAAACTACCAAAAACTCACCCTCCAAGAATCTCCTGGAACAGTACCCGCTGGTCGATTGCCACGTTCGCGCGAGGTTATTCTTCTCTGGGATCTGATCGACAAGGCAAAGCCTGGTGAGGAGATTGAAGTGACTGGAATCTACCGCAACAACTATGATGCTCAGCTCAACAACCGCAACGGCTTCCCTGTGTTTGCTACTATCCTCGAAGCAAATAATGTTGTCAAGTCTCATGACCAGCTGGCTGGTTTCCGAATGACTGAAGAGGATGAGCACACAATCCGCAAGTTGTCTCGCGACCCCAATATTGTGGACAAGATTATCAACTCGATAGCACCTAGTATCTACGGCCATACTGACATTAAAACCGCCGTGGCTTTGTCGCTCTTCGGTGGTGTTGCCAAGGTTACCAAGGGTGCTCATCACCTCCGAGGTGACATCAACGTACTTCTCCTTGGTGATCCTGGTACAGCCAAGTCCCAGGTTCTCAAGTATGCTGAGAAGACAGCTCACCGAGCTGTGTTTGCTACAGGTCAAGGTGCCAGTGCTGTCGGTTTGACGGCCAGTGTTCGAAGAGACCCTCTCACCAGTGAATGGACATTGGAAGGTGGTGCTCTGGTGTTGGCCGATCGTGGAACTTGTCTCATTGACGAGTTTGACAAGATGAATGACCAAGATCGAACATCTATCCACGAAGCCATGGAACAGCAGACCATCTCCATCTCCAAAGCCGGTATTGTCACCACCCTACAAGCTCGATGTGGTGTCATTGCTGCTGCCAATCCCATCGGTGGACGATACAACTCCACTGCCCCATTCTCTGCCAATGTTGAGTTGACAGAGCCTATCTTGTCTCGTTTTGATATCCTGTGTGTGGTGCGAGACACCGTTGAGCCCGAAGAGGATGAGCGTCTGGCACGATTCATCGTCGGATCACATAGCCGAAGCCACCCTCTCAGCCAAGCTCAGCAGGACTCGATGGAAGTTGAACATGATACACAAGCTGAGACACAAGCCACGAATGGTGGTCGCAAGGCCGAGGGTGATATTCCCCAGGAGTTGTTAAGAAAGTATATCCTCTACGCGCGGGAGCACTGTTCCCCGAAGCTGTACCATGTGGACGAGGACAAGATTGCGCGACTGTTTGCCGACATGAGACGAGAGTCTCTTGCCACCGGTGCCTACCCCATCACAGTAAGTTCTTCCTACATCATGACCACCGTGACATCTCAAACTGACAAACTCAGGTGCGACATCTTGAAGCCATCATCCGTATCAGCGAAGCCTTCTGCCGCATGCGCCTCTCAGAATACTGCTCGTCACAGGACATGGACCGAGCGATCGCCGTCACAGTGGACAGCTTCGTGGGCAGCCAGAAAGTTAGTTGCAAGAAGGCTCTCGCGAGGGCGTTCGCCAAATACACGCTCGCGCGGCCTGGTACCCAGAAGAAGACCGGCGGTAACAGCCAAGCGAGACGGCAGACTGGTGTTGTTGGTTAGAATGGATAGTGTGTTAGTGTGATGTTGTAATGAGGACGGGTGTTTTGGCGAAGAGGTTTGGAATGGATATCAGCTTTGCAATGACGGCTTGTATGAATGAGTTGAGAATACCTCGCATGTAGATTTAATGTATCATGAGATTAAAATACGCGATCACAACGTGCGGATCATTCCGTGTTCGCAGAGTTGCCCTTTTCATCATACCAGTTTCCGTATCATTGCCTTGTTCACGAAGCACAACGAGTGTTCGCATTTCACACCAGATATGCTCATTGCCCGAACTCATAGAGCACTCATAGTGAGAGAACAGCGACACTTTCTATGAGCAATATCAGTATTACAACTTGCTCTGCGGCTCGTTCACATAGTTATGCACTGGGAATGCTCACTCAAATGAGGGGGATTCTAGGCAATAAATAGGCATCGACTCATCCGTTGACTTCACCTTTGCCTCTCAAGACATTGCATCTCAGCAATCTTATCTGAACAAGGAAATACCTTTTATCTGTCAAACAAACTACCCATCGACAACCACCATGAATTCCCTTATCGCCTACACTGCTCTTCTCTTCCTCATGGTCAAAATCATCGGCACAGCACCCCCACAGCATATCTTCCACGAACCCCGAGACTATCAACCCACTCGAGACCGGAGAGAAGACAACCGACGATATTTTGCCAACATGGATGCATGGTATGATATGCACATACAGAGTCGCGTGTGGGATATCTATGTCGGTCTCTGGTGGATCAAGCTCGTAATCGCTCTGCTCACTCTTGCCACTAATGGTCACATTCCGGGAACACTGGTTGGATCGTTGGTTTACGTGGTGTTCTATTTCTTCCTGGCTCTGGTGTTGGTGGCTATAGAGGCGCTTTGGGGTGCTATTTGCGGTTTATTTGGGTGCCATAACCTACTTGCTCTGTGGTTCGACCCGTGAACAACTACATTGTATTTCGAGGTCAGGTGCCTTGTCTGAGGGAGTATAATGTTGCTGGCTAAGTCAATATTGCACCATTTCACTTGGAGCCCTCTCCTGGGACGGCAACGCAAGTTGGTTTGCTAACACAACTATCAGAAATATCATCATGACAAAGGTGGCATTATGTGAAGCCGGCAAGCCTATATACATGACAGATAGAAAATAGAAAAGAAAAAAAAAAGCGGTAAAACGATTTCTGCTGTATCAAACAAAATGCCCTTGTATTTCCAGCAAATGTTATGAATATGTGACTGTACCCAGTCTGATCTTCCCCTAAATCGTAGCTCTGTTGGCAAGATCGTGATAAACCTCAAAGATATTCAAAAGCTGTAATCAAGGATACATATTGACAATTAGAATGAAAAAATTTTCATATTCCTATGTAACAGGAGTTTCTAGCGTGAATATGGATGAAGAGAAGTCTTCTCACACAGGTTTTCTACTCTATTCCTAAACTACTACTACAGTACAGTTTACCCATAGACTCAAGGGATTGGTGCTGCAAACCACTCCTCGACAGCCTTTGTGAACTGATCAGGATCCTGAAGCGGTGCAAAGTGACTCACCCCAGTCAAAATCTCGACGTGGCTCCCCTTGATAGCCTTGTGCAACTTTTCTGGCACATCCCTGTTCACAGCCTCCTCATGCTCAGCCCCAACAATGATTACCCTCGGTCCATCGATAGATCCAAGCTGCTCATCCGTGAACTGGGGAAGTGTAGCCTCCATCGTGGCAACTTTGGTGCCGAAGAGGGTGAAGTTGGCGTGAGGCTGCAGTTCAGCGTACTCAGTACGGCAGCGAGACACAAACTCCGAGAAGATATCAGTGCTTGAGAATGTGGCGTTGGTCTGCTCGGGGTTGGCTGATCCTCCAAAGATAAAGGCCTTCTTGATAGGCTCTGACATGACAGGGTCGATGAGTGCAGCGAGAGTTGTGATGGCACCATCGGACCAGCCAACGACGTTGTACTCGGAGATGCCATGGCTCTTCAGCAGATCATTCGTATCTTGAGCGAACCCTTCATAAGTGAAGACATCGCTCTTGTTGAAGGTTGAACGACCGTGACCTCGACGATCAACTGCGATGACATAGTATCCGTGCTTGATAAGACGGGAGATGACGGATCCAAAGTATGCCGAGTAACCTAGACCGCCATGGTCCATAACAATAGGGATAGCATCCGCTTTCTTGTTGTACTCCTGCATCCAGAGAGAAACATTGTTGATGTGAGTTGTTTTGTGGGTGATGGGTGCTGGCAGGTCTGGCGTGGGTGGGAGTGTCAGCCAGATTGGCTTCTCCTGACGGGTAGCCAGGCCATTGGCGAGAGCTCCGAAAGCGAGCAATTGCTTGAACAACATTTTGAATCGATTGCTGGTTTCCTCAGTCACATTTCAGGGGCTGTAGAGGCATTATATATTCCAATTGGTGGTCTAAGCTGTAATACGAGATGGGCTAATACATCCCAGTCAATGCTCAACTGCCGGCGAGCACGGCTGTGGATAGAAACTCTAATCCAGGGAGCATAGTAATTTCCTTTCGAAAGACGCTATGCTAGGATATCCTAGTCGAAATACTGTGCTCTGCTTGGTGGATAGTATGTCCATAGAACTTTTCGACGCCGTTGCAAACTCTATCTTTCGCTTAGCGGACAACTCGGAGTCGACGATTATGCTATCGCTGCGCTTATTAACAAAAGCGTCGTAATTTATACGACTATCCGAGGTTTCCGAGGAAGGTTGGTCATGTATACTTTGTGTTTCCAACCTTCATTGAGCGTATGATAGGCTGAGGGTGTTTGTTTGACACCTTGCCATTTGCTTAGCATCTACGGTTGGGGAGTGAAGACCCCGTATTTTCAAGTTCCAAAGACTGGTTTGTCAGTTACATCTGTTATGACTCCAGGTGGAATGTGAAAGAGATGTGTAACATTGAAAAGTCAAATATTACTCTAGTGATGTAAGGTCTCACGATATATCTAGGCAAGTTGACATCATTGAAATATTAGGTTCATTCATTATATAGTAACCCTCGCCTTCAAGCCATCCAGTGACCATGAGAAAGCGAGCCCAGTCTTAATCCATTCCCAGGGTTGATAGTTCATTACACGTGAAGGGTATGGCTTGACCCGAAGCCTGCCCATATTCAGGAGAACCTGCCCCCTCATCAAGTAGACTCCCAGCCTCTTTACTTGGCAATGATGATGTTGTTGTTGACTAGTGAAGAGTTAGCACTTGTTGAAAACAATCGATTCGGGTTCATCACTTACCCTCTTTAGAAATGATAGTGATCTGGGGCTTCAAAGCAGCATCGATGAACTGAGCCAAGTTCAGGCCAGCAATGCCGTTGATGAGCCCAAGGTTCAGGTTGCCAAGGTCCAATCGAGACAGCTCAAACTGGTCAAAGATACCAGTCTCGGCAATAGCAAGCATGGTGGAGAGCTGCTGGAGCTGGAGAAGAGACTGGAGGCTGAAGTCCCGAGAGGCGAAGAGATCTTGGAAGACGACGACGTTGAAGTTGTTTCGCTGGCTGAGGACCTGGAGCTTGCCGAGGTTGAGCTGGTTGACCCGGAGAAGGTAGTTGAGATCGACTTGGCTAAAGGCAAGGCCGCCACGGTTGAGGCGATCATCCTGGCGACCACGTCCAGCACGGTCCTCTCGGTCATCCTCGCGCTCGCCCTCACGGCCCTCCTCTCGTCCAGGCTCGCGGAGATCAGCACGGCCGTCCTCGCGGTCTCGGCTGGGGGCGCTCTCGTTGAGAGCAGCGCGCTCTTGGGAGAAAGTGGCAACGCCGGGGGCGGCGGCAGCGAACGCGGCAGAGGCGATAACGAAGAAAGCCGAGAACTTCATCTTGAAAGGATTGAGAAGGTGGGTTTGGTTGTGTGTTGTTGAGTGAGCGAGTGAGTGAGTGAGTGTTGGAGTTGGACAGTAAATATCAAATGGGTATATGAATGTTGTGAGCACAGCTCTAAAGGCGAAACGGTGGAAGGAATGAAAGCCGACAAGAGCACAGCTGGAGGGTTCAGTGTTGGTAAACTTGATGTTTATAGACGGGAATAGTATTAATGGCTCACCTCTTTAGGAAATGACTGGTGTTTGGAAGGATGGACTGGAAGATGATGATTGTGAGATGAAGAATCGAATTATTTCAGCGGGAGTCCTTCCCCATCTTTATAGGCAAACTACTCACAAACATTGTCAGCTCAGATTCAACGTTGTTTCTTGATCGGAAGCATTCCATCCCCAGAGCCGTGCTGGCCGAGCACGTCAAACCCGCCATGAAAGGCTCCTTGTCACCGGCAGCGCCAGAGGCCGGAGCTAGCCCTATGACGATACCGTACGAAAGCGTAATACAATGTCTCATGATATCGATCTGGCGTGGTAGAATGCAACATGTCCCCGGAAGTTGGAACGCCAAGCTGGGCTCTTTTTCATCCGCTCAGGTCTTGCAGGGATCAAAGTGTCAGAGCTTCGGGACTGCACGAGAGAGCGGAGCCGATGAGGTTGAGGCTATAGGAGACATCAGATAAAGCCCAAGGCTGAGTTTCAGATCTCGACTCTGAACTGCAGATTCTTGTCTCCAAAAAGTTAAGGTTGGGTTTATGCTTCTTGGGTCGACAGGGGTCTGGTGCATGCCCTGTCAGAGCGTGGATCGTTGACGTCTCAACCTGTCAATCAGTCAGCAGGCATTAACACGGCTAGACGAAGAAACGTCTCAGGTTTGTGACGGAAGAGCCATCACCGAAAGATACAGAGTCGCTCATTGGATGTAATTCGTCGAAACACTTTCAGAACCTTAGTCGAACGGATGACGGGAAACTGTCATTGCCGATCCTTGGCTTTGGACTTGACCGAATCAAAGAACCAGATGGCGAGGTGGGATTGCTCAGAGGAACTGCCGAAAAGTTGGGCTAGAGTAGTGAAGCTGCCATAGGGTAACCGGCCGTGAATATCAAGTCATGTTGAGATCTTTTGAATCTCGAGAGTTCAACGAAGCTGCTGCAGCCGATCAATATTTGGAGTGATGTGTGAATCGAGACTGAGAGCGGCTTTCGACAATTGGCCCTTCTCAGTAGGTTCGCCGTATCTCGTAAGACTCGTTGTTCGTCTCATAATCTGTCCATGGCATATCCGACTCGAGTGGAATCTTGGCTGCGAGACACTCGTCCAAAGTTGTGAACTTGCACAAACCATCTTGGCATCCGTCGGACGAAGAATATTGAAATACCCAGGCCATAGTGCTTCAGGTAGCCCGCCTCAGGATACCGAGAGCCTTTTTGCGTTGCAATCAAGAATATGACAGGCTCGAATATTGACCGGGGCCAAATGAATATCCTTTCTTGGCAAGTATCGCAAGGTGCCCGGCCAAGTTTGTGTCTCCTCGGGCTTGGGTTGGGTTGAGTTTCGAAGAATAAGACAGAGAATTAATTGCTGGGCCATTTGACCGGCCTAAGTCAATGTCAGTGTCTGTGAAGCAAAATGAGGCCAACTTTGACACTTGGACTCACTTGTATTCCATTGGGGATTTCAGCCAATTGCTCTTTCTTGGCCAAAGCCTAGTTGATATTATGAAATATCTCACGGTTTCTGTTGCAGGGCTTTGCTTATTCTTCGTCTGGTGTTGATATCAAAGCTACGTGCTCGATTGGTCCCAACTCGTCAGCGATATCGGACTCCCTCATCGCTCCCAGCACTGCAGACCGCCGTAACCGCCCGTCGAAGCTCAGCAGTCATCCGGGAGATATCTCCAAGTCTCCGAGGAAGCTTGGAATCTCTTTCTCTTTTGTTGAAAATCAAAGTGGTGTCTTGACGACGATGTCGAGGACTTCGGCCATGGCGCCGAGGAACTGCACAGCAAATGGAAGAAATCAATTCATGTCCGGCCAAGCTACTGCCGGCCATCAGCCGGTAAGAGGTGAGATATGCTTCTGCAACCTCTCGGCTGGGAACATTTCAATGATTAGTCCCAGCCAGTGAGTCGAAAGGTTTGTGTTTCCCCTACTAAGCTCGGTTGACGATGAGAAACTGTCTGGCTGCTCTCAACGTCTGTTTTCATGTTGGATCTTCTCTATCTTCTCTCGGCCGGATTAAGCTCTCAGCCACAGGTCTCAGCGGCAAATAACACTTCTAGCTCGTTGGATCTTCTCATTATCAGAACATCAACGCTTACAAGACTCGGGACGGCTTGCCATCGCCGAACAGGAAAGAAGGCTCAGTACAGCATACAAACCCTGACGGACCACGGTAGTATCTTTATATACCCTCTTCCTCGTTATATATTTGCATGGCTGGCTTTTTATTCTTCCTTGCAGGCTCATAAATAGCACCTCAAGTATCACGGCTACACGACAATACTCTCACAGAGCCTCCAGCCTCTGGAGGCGAAAAGTCATGTCCGGGCTCTCAATATAACCTCCGAACAAGTAACCCCCTTTTCATTCAAAGTCACGACCCATAATTATCCTCTTCGTTTTCAAGAGAAACGTCATTGTCCTTCGAAGAGAGAACGACACTCCCCACTGATATCTATCTTAGGAGAGCAACGAGACATCAGACAAGACAAGTCCAAATCTTCTCGACCTCAACACATAGCTGAGGTCCAGGAAGCAAGAAGACTTGTGACCTCTTTTCTAAGTTATGAAAGAACTCAAGTAAGTCTAGGATAAGCTTGGTAGGATTTGAGGCCAGTCTATTCTATTCCAACACATTGATTCAATATCAGATGTTTTCTTGATCCCTCAAGACCTGGCTTCGACCCAGGGTCTAAGTGCCAAACCAAGTGCTTTCCCTCCAATTTCCCAGCTTCAGTATATGCTCCCTACTATTCTGCTGATTAGTCTCATCAGATGATGCGCGAATCTTTATAATGGTTGGGTGTATCGGCTTTCTCAAACGCCAACCGCACATGGCAATATCAAATTCATTGACATTAGGAATAACATAGGATTTTCGAAAAGGAGTCACAACATCAAAGTCGCTTCAGACTTGCTTGCCAAACAGATTCATCATGCTTAGGCTGCAGTAGTCACATCTGCTTGCATTCTCCTCATCACACCTCTGTTGATCAACCCCTCTCCTCCAAGAGTCAGATGAAGAGGTCCTGGCTGCGAAGCGGCATTCTGCCCTGACGGCAGTCTCACCGATGACGCCCAGTCCTGATGTCTCGTCTCACCAACTCCCACAATGCCATTTATTTGCCTCAGATCTGGTCTGGGCTCCCTCCACTCCTTAAGCTGACCTCCGATTTGCGCCAAAGCATCTGCATCAAGAGTCTCCGTCCACGTAGGGGCACGTAGAATGAACCACATCAGCACACAAAGTGCCATAACTTGAAGACCTATCAGTGCGGTGACACTTATCACCGCTGCTGAATCATTTTTTGGCCTTATGACTGCAGTTCCGGGGCTGTAGAAGATGGGGCGCTGCTGGGATAGCGAGGCGGCGGTGGTGAGAAGGGCTTCGTTTGCAAAGAACATGGCCTTTTCGAGTGCTTGTGTGGTGGCCTCTTCATTCTTGAGGCCATTGAAATAATAGTAAATCAAATCCTGCATTTTCAGACCATGCTTCCGATTTCTCACGCATGGACTGCACCAGCCCAGATTGTACTCGCGCGGCATCATTCCAAGCAGTGGAAACAACGAGTTGTCACAGATTTTCTCGATGGTCTGATTGTAAGTGTCACGATCAGCAACCCGAGCTGCTTGAAAGAAAGAGGAATTTCCAAACATAGCCAGAGCCACGGTCATGAGTGGACCTGGCACAGGGGGCCCTTGGTAGGTGTAGCTCGATTTACCGCGATAATTTTGCAGTTCTTCGTCTGGGATTCTAGTCAACGGTAAGTGGTTAGCCAGGGGCTGTCAAAGACATATCATGACTGAATGGGGTGCATACTCTGCTGCTGGATATCTGTCACCTGGAAATGTTTGATCCCACTGAGGGCTATTGATATAATAATCGTTGAACTCATACTTGAGTTCTCGCCATGGAGGCCACTCGTCACGTAAGGGCCTAGGCTTTCCGCAGTTTGCGTTGTTCGGGAGCTGAAACCATCCTCTACTCGAGATCACTGTCGCATCTGAGGACGTAGCTATCGTTATTTCGAAATTGTCCGGAGCTATCTTGACCATCAGGAATATCCCATTTCATAGACAGTCATAAAGTCTCGTTATGCTCTTGTTTGTTTCGACTTGTGTTCCAAGCCACAGTATCATAACTCCCCTCGGCACAAATATCGACGTTCATCCAATCTTCTGAGAAAGATGGCGCGAATGGATTGTCCCCCTTGCACTGTTTCGGGAAACTTTTAGCCAAGTAACAATTTGCTGTAGAGTCCATACTGACTGCGTGATGTCGATAGACTCCGGTGGCAGTGCCGTTAGGGACGGAAGACGCATAATATGGCCATTTGCCCTTATCGTATGAAGACTCCTGGTAGTACCAGTCAAAAGTCCGTCTGTTGTCCGTATAGTAATTTGGGCTTTCTCCAAGAGAAACCTCATCAGACCACAGATTGGTTTGGATATCGCTGTTGGTGGAGCTGAGTAGCTTCTGGCTGGTCTTTTTAACGACAACGTCTTGTGGGCAGAAGTTCAGATCGATGGGCTCCGCGTCCCGCGCAATGATCTGAGTATTCAAATCCTTGAAAGGAAACTTGCAAGCTCCCGAACCGTAATCTCGGTACGCCGCGGGATGCCCTTTGCACGTCAAAACGTTAATCTCTTCGTCTCGGACTAGGATGGCTTGTATAGGTGGTTGGATAGCGGCTGTTTAGAAACGGTCAGTATAGGGGGCATATGGTGCAAGATCAGGGTACATTCCCGGACTTACTGATCAGGATGAGGAAAGTCGCTAGCCAAAGGTAGAGTGACCGTTCCGTAATTTTAAGCTTGCTTGGAGGTTTAACCAGATATCGCGGGTCTAGCCATTTTCTATCTGCCAGCGCAAATAGCTGCAAGACGCTCAATTTCTGAGCTGAGCTTCGACGCTGCGTGTACGCGACCGCTCCATGGGCAAGGAGGCCAGAAACTATCGGGAGCTAAACAACACTTGAGAGTGCAGTGAGAGACCTGAGAGCAACACGCGATCTGTGCCAATTATTTACGTCTCCGGGGGTGACTGATCCCGCCTGGTTGAAGTATGATTCCTTGTTGATGGGTCTGTTCATCAAAACCCAGGTGAATATCCACGGTAGGACGAGAATAAGGAGATACAACCCAAAGATTCATAACGAGCGTTTGTAGTGGAGAACGACTTGCTTATCTTTTGCTAGGCTCGAAGACTGTCGTGGTCGATGAGCACACGATCTGGATAATTGGTGAGTGTAACCACCGACCTGAGTTCAAACTCTTGGGGACCCATAATGAGTCAAGGGAGCGCATAATTAGCTGATCAGTAAGGCTGATGGTCGATGGGATTGTGGCTTCTTTTTAGCACGGACATATCATGTTTACCAAACATTAAAAAACAGGGGGTTCTCATCCAGCCATCGCATTGCTGTCCTTGGTGAGCTTAGGCGGCGGTAAAGACGGGATTGAACGAGAGTTGAGCCTTCTTGGCAATCCCACGTTAATTAAACGCCGCTGCACAAGATCAGATAATGGCCAGTTGGGTGTTGCCTTTGGCTAGTGGTGTTTTGTTTGTGCATGCTTCCATGGCAATTCCCATCCCCCAATTGGCTTGGAGTTTCTCATCAAGGCCTCATGGATATTTGAGCGTACCTATAAGTGAGGATGAAATTGGCTCTGGTACTTTTGTTCCTGGCAGGCAAATTGTCACACGCAAGACTGCGGCGTGGGTCGGATCAGCCAACGTCGAGTAAGGTTTCCATCATCGGTACGGGTTTGGGCTCCGGACATGAATCGCGAAATATGACACATATAATATCATGATTGTCGACCTCGAGCAATGAGAAGTCTGAACTGGTTGGAAAGCAGGCACCTGATGGAGAATTCCGTCGGCGGAGGGTTTCGTGGGACGGTCCTTGCGATGTTGACTTTGGTTTTGATTCTTCATGTAACGTCTTGTCGAGAATTGCTTCGCTATGATTCTATATTGAATGGAATATATATGAGCCGAAAGGTGCGTATCTGCTGTCGTAGAAAGGCAGGTATTTTTGTTTCTCATGCCGAGTCGTGATACGACACAAATCGCGCGCGAGAACGTGGAGGATAGGATAGGGAACAAAAGGCTACGTTAATAAAACAATTGGTCAGTAAGTTATGCACATTCTCTTCTTTCATTACTCACAGTGAAGCAACAGCAACGAGCTCTTAGACTTTCAATGGCAACGAGGCCGGGATCTGGCTGGATACGCCCGCGCCCCCTCAAAAGTCGAAACGCATACGGCGGCGCAGGAATGAGACAGACGGCAGTAAATAGCAATATATCCGCGTTTCGATCAGGCTGGTCGCTGTTGCGTTTGTGATGTTGGATTGGATTTTGATGAAAGGTCCATGTAAAGTAGAGGTTTGGCCACAACCGCCAAGTGTAACTGACAGAGGAGGTAGGCATCCGTGCAAGCAACAAAGTGTGACTCAAATGAAGGGAAATTTATAGAAAAACATCTTAAAATGAACTTGATAACAAATCAAACAATTGAGTCACCCCACAGGTTGCTCTAAAGCAAACCGTTTCGTCGGTATCAAGCAAATGCATTCACATGGATGTCAATTCTCACATCGCCCTTCTATCTACCCTAAGGATAGTCACCGTCTTAATCTGGGCTCATCAAACACTATATACCCGAGTCTATATACTTTGGTTATTCTTTGGAATAATGCTGAACCTCAAACCACACTGAAATCAAGTCATCTAAAGTTGTTGCTATTCCTGCAAGCCATTTTCCCGAAGCACAGAACCCGCATAGTGAAGAACTCGCATCATCCGCAGATGCCCATCATTGACCAAGGTATGTTCTACCAAACTTCTGTATCTCTAAAACTGAGGTTTTGGGCCTGGTATGAATAAACACACAGTTCATGATTAGCTGAATGCCCACCAGCTTGGTATCTCTCTTCTCAAATCTACTTCGTCCGATAATGTCAATCCACCCTGTTTCATGGCATTGGCCTCACCAACGAGGCCACGTCTTTATTCAAGCCCCCAGTTTCGAGTCTTCCATGAATTATAGAGGCCACAGTGAACGAGTGTTTCTGTGTGTAAGTCACCAACGCCCAATTTCTATTTTTACCTCGATCTAAGAAACGGATCTAATCAACAAGACACACTTTACTGTTGGTGCACCAATCAGCATCTGACAACGTCAGTGGGCCACGCTGAAGTTAAACGAGCCTGGGCTACGGGGTAAGGTACGGGATACGCTACGCCCACTTCGTGTCTAGTCCGACGCTGATCAACGACACGACACAAACCCAACCTCCATCCATAATTCAACATCATTTCCATCAATTCGACCTCAGCGACGCTTCAATGTGCCGCCAACACTCGAGGTCACGATGCCTTCGCTAGGCTCAGCCCTTCTACGATCCCTGGCACTTGTCGCAGCCTGGACACAAGCCCAGACCGAGGCCCAGTCCCACGAACCCAGTGTCATCCCTGACCCAATCGACTTGACCTGCGATGCCCGAACCATCAACTACATCACCCACACGCTGCCCCAAGCTTGCCTCACAAGCTCCTGGACGAGCACTTCTGTGAGCGTAACCCCTTCAGCTGCCAATTCCCCTTCCGACGCCTCCCCCGACTCGACACAAAGCGATGCGCCACCTCCGAACACACAAAGCGAGTCCCCTTCTCACTCCCAGTCCCAACCGTCAGCGTCCACCGCCACTGCCGCCAAAGATGACCCGGAAGACGCCGCTGGAGATGGAGATGCAAAGCCGTTCATGTCCTTTGAGGACTGGAAGGCCATGATGTTGAAACAGACAGGGCAGGATCCTCAAAACCTACACAGGAACGCCAAGCCCCGCGACAGGACACCCCCGGATATTGGCTACGGCGGTCTCGGCGAGGAAGATGAGATATCCCTGAACTTTGGCAGCTACATGGATGACACGGGGGAGCAACAGGAACGCCCCTCGGATCTCGAACAAGCTAAGAACGAGGGATCAGGAAAGGATGGCCGTGGTGTTGCAATCCATAGAAACAAAGATGCTGGCAAGACCTGCAAGGAACGATTCTCATACTCGTCCTTCGATGCCGGCGCCACCATTCTCAAGACGAGCCCCGGCGCAAGGAATGCAAAGGCAATTCTCGTCGAGAACAAAGACTCTTACCTACTCTTCGAGTGTAGTGCCAAGGAGAAGTGGTTTATTGTCGAACTGAGCGACGATGTCTACATCGATACCGTTGTCCTCGCCAACTTCGAGTTCTTTTCTAGTATGATCCAAACTTTTACTGTCAGCGTTAGTGACCGGTACCCAGTCAAGAGGGACGAGTGGAAGCAGATCGGAGTCTTTCAGGCAGAGAACTCACGAGCTATTCAGCCCTTCTTGGTAGAGAATGCTCAGATCTTCTCCAAGTATGTCCGCATCGACTATCTCACCCATTACGGAAAACAATACTACTGCCCCGTTTCATTACTTCGAATCCATGGCTCGCGCTTCTTCGCTGCATTCAACGAAGATCGTAACGAGGATACGAATGAGGCTGAGGAGGCCAAAGTGACCCCTCAAGCTCTCCCTTCAGGAGAAGAGCCGGCCAAACCCCAAGAGCTCGAGAGTCCTCCTGAGCCTGCCAAGCCCAGCTCGATGGGATTAATGCCATTCTGTGAAGTCAACACCGCTTCGCAACTACTTTTCGAGCCGTTGTTCTGCTCTGCCTCCCTCAATCGAACTACACAACAAATCTCAAGCCCCAGCAGCTCTGCTGAAGTCACCAGCGCTGCACCCACAACCAACTCCCCTGACGAGAGGGCACAAAAGGGGACTTCAACACCACACATTCCCCGATCAGAGCACCCTGCAAGTGAAGAGCCCACGGCTTCATCATCTTCCACCACTGCATCTCCAAGCGCCACGCCCGCTGTGTCCCCAACTAGCCCATCCTCCATCTCATCCTCCAACGTCGAATCCCCTTCAAACTCCACTACTTCGGCAGCAGGCACAAAGACGACCGCAACACCATCTTCCTCTACGTCATCATCTACTCAGAAGCCCTCCCCCGCCAATACTGTTAACGCCAAGAAGGGCTCCACAGGAACGGCTTCTGGCTCACCGGCCTCGCCCACTGTGCAAGAAGGATTCTTCAAGTCCATCTCCAAGCGTCTTACAATCGTTGAGACCAACCTCACACTCTCCCTCAAATACGTCGAGGACCAAGCTCGCCACATGTCCGAGACTCTGCACCGCACAGAGCAGAAGCAACTTTCAAAAACTACACTGTTCCTCGAGAACCTCAACAAGACCGTCCTCGCCGAGCTACGCTCCGTTCGTGAGCAGTACGATCAGATCTGGCAGTCAACGGTCCTGGCTCTGGAGAGTCAGCGCGAGCAGTCCAACCGAGAGATAGTTGCTCTCAGCGCTCGCCTCAACCTCCTGGCCGACGAGGTCGTCTTTCAGAAACGCATGGCCATAGTACAAGCCGTGTTACTCATGTCATGTCTGATCCTCGTCATCTTCTCCCGAGGCGTACCACTACATCACCTAGCACCCTTTTCAGATCAGGCTGTTCTTGCTTCCTACGACGGTGCATCATCGGCGGCTCGCGTTCGAGCCATGCATGGAGGTGCATTCGACGGAGAAGATGCAGCGTTACTGGCAGCCCGTCAGGGAAGCCAATATGCTCTTACATCAAGAGCAGACGATGGTGCTACTGAACTACAACGAGGGTCTTTTGCCGACGAGATACATCATGATCGTGTTGAATGCGAGCAACTTTCACCTCCTCCAACGCCAAGATCTTCTGGAGGCTTTTCTTCGTCGTCTGATCTGTCGCCCCCTTCCCACGACACAAAGCCGAATGTGTTGCGTCGCTCGATCGCGCAACCAACCAATTCGCGAAAACCGTTACCAGCGCTACCCGAGAATCCATCTTCTCCGTGATTGTTGAGTGTTAGCTACGTCTTAAATAGAATCAATAAACGAAAAGCGTCATAGAACTGCAGTTGAACTTAAATATCTGTGTCTCGCGTGATCTAGCGTCTGCTTGGTGACCCTTGCTACAATATTACCGTCACAAAGCACATCCCGAGGTTTGGCTGATGAAATCTATTCTGCGCTTGCCAAGTACTAGGTATCTACGTGCATCAAGATGCTGCCAGTTGCTG